CCCCCCCCCCCCCCCCATATTCCGCACCCCCGCACCCCACCCCGTTCGCGTCGCAGGACTTCTACACCCGCTACCGGTGCTTGATCTCCCTCGACCCCAAGGTCAAGAAGTCCAAGTATCCGATGAGACTTCAAGGCACGAGCACTGTCGCGCAGAAGATGTGCAAGGTGGGGCTCTTGTTGTTTTTTTGGCGCGTTGAAGCCACCGGGCACGCGTGCAGGTTCTGTTTCTGGTGTCTGCGTGCGTGCATGTTGCCGTAGACACGACAGGACGCGGCCTTTATTGTGTGTGTTATTTTTCGCCTTTTCTTGTGTGTATTTCTTGTCTTGAACGCGGTCTCGGATCGGGCACCATGTGCCGGTTGAGACCGGACGGCTTGTAGAGGCTGCAAGGGCGGCGACCTCTATGCTTCTGTCATGAGGTTTTTTGTTTTTTGGGGTAGTTTTCGCTGAAGCTTGTCGTAGGGAAGTTGGTTTCGAGACAAGGCTCGGTAGAACTTGACCGCACGACCGTGTTTCAGAATGAGAGGTCAAAATATCTTTGTTTTACGTTTCCTCTCTGGCCTCTTCTCCTTGGTCTGCCTGCATGCATCGTGTGTGTGTTTGCAGGACCTTGTCAAGAACGTGCTGTCGCCGGCAATGGTTAGCATGAAAAACATCCCGGAGGACACCATGCAGTTCGGAAAGAGCAAGGTATAAAGCCCCGTAACGCCTTCGTACATGGAACGACATTATGACTGTCGTCGTCGTCGTCGTCGACGTCTTTGCCGTTGCTACTGTTTATTGCTCATGGCGCTGCTACTGCAGTTGCCTCTATTAGCGCACGTGCTTGTTCCGCCAACACGCCCCCCGCGTGGGAAACATGGAGAAAGCCACGGTGGGCGGGGGGATGGCTCACCCCTCAAGTCTTGTATGCATTCCCCTCTGTCCATGACTGCCGTGCCTCTCCCATCCCGCATAACTTTGTGCGTACCGCCCCTTACAGCCCGACAAAGGGTAGGAAGGAATCATTGACCATCGGTGATCGGTCCTGCGGGAATAATGCGCCGTCCTCCGGAGGACGCGCGGTCATGGTCTAGCCACCAAGGCACGCAAAACATGAGTACGCCCCCCCCCCCCCCCCCCCCCCCCCCCCCCCCCCCCCCCCTTACCCCCCAAAACCCTAAAAAAA